ATCTTCCGTAGCAGTTGAGGAATTATTTTAAAAACAATTTAAACAATTAAACAAGAATCTGATTGATTAATCATTTCACTGATTGATTGATTAATTTAGTTAATATCTTATTATTAAATATTACAAAATATTTTTTGAAAATAATTAGATCATAACTAATTCATTATAATATACAAAAAAAATGAACAAAAAATGAGACTCATTGTTTCCATTATAAATTGAATTAATGAATTTAACAAATTGACAGTTTCAGCAAGTTTTAAATTTTATGTTTCAATAGATATTTGATATGCGTTTGTTTAATTCCTCAATCGAGCAAGAATTAAATCAGTCGCAATCAAACCCAAACATATTCAAACTTTTATTAAAAAGTTGTATTCGAATAGCGTTGGTAAAAGATATGGGAATGAATGCGTTAAAAACTCCGTGTTGGTTTATGATTGTTAATTTAGTGGCATTGGATGTATTACGCAGCAAATTACCCATTCTACGTAATATTTTTTAATTTCTTCAAAGTTTATTTCTTCCTTAACTTTTATTTAAAAAAAAATGTAAAAAATTGAAAAAGAAATGAGAAAAAATAAATTACCTTAAGAAGATATGAATTTAGAAAAAAAGGAATTTAAAGAATTTTAATTTTTAGGCTTAATATCTGATAGACAATGTTTTTCTTCTCAAAATAACACTGTCACATTTTCGATGCCGTCAACAACTCAATCCACTGTAACTTTGAATGAAATATTTCCTTCACACAGAAAGCAGTGAGTGCACTTTTTATTTGACTTAAATTTTTCAAAAAATAACTTTCAAATCGAATATTTCAAATTTTCGAGCTCCAATTTCAAATTAATTTTGTTTGCGCAAACTATCAAATAATGATTTCGGAAAGCGATCTGAATCGTTACCGGTGCTTGATCAAATCCTTCAATTGATACAGTTTTCTAATATGCAGCAAAAGCGAACATCAGCAACGCAAAATTTAATTTCATTAAGACGGCCAAGGTAAATCACTCTTTTTCTAAAATGTTACAATCAAAATTTTATTATTCAGTTGAATATTATTCAAAATTATGGAAAAAAAGATATTTCAAAAAGTTAAGATGAAATGACTGATATCTTTTAATTTAATGTAAAAACTATTTTATTTTATCGATTCCAAAAATACACTAAAATCCTTTGAAATGTCTTTTCAGCAGTTTCGAAAATGCTTAGCTAAAATTTTTTAACGCATTTTTTTATAGTTTTATCTGTAATTTGAAATTCTTCCAAGTTAAAATGAAATGATTGGTATCTTTTGTTACAGTTGAAACTTTATTCTTCCAACATTTATTTAACAAATAAAGTTTTCATCAATTTCAAATTAAAATTCCCATTTAAAATTTTGCTTGATTTTTCCAAAAATTCTTTTTCCTTTAATCCTTAACTTCTTTTCACATTTTCCTTCCTAAAAATTCTGAACATTTTTATGCTTTTTTTTAGCTTTTTTATTTTTAAACTCACCTGGATATCCTAGTAAATTCTTCACAGATCATTGTCATGTACTGATTCCGAGGATAAATCAATAGTTTTGCAAGAAGGAAAATATAATAACACGAAAGAGCGATCGCAGTCTAAAAATTTCTCACTGTCATCAAAATCTTCCAGCGGTTTTAGCAGCATGGATTTGATGAAAAATTTCGAAAAAGTCGAAAAGTTTGTTTATTTTATATTTATGAAAGCAAAGTTTGTTATGACTAAAATCGAATATTTTAAATCGAAAAATTTCAAAATTTTTTCAATTTTTCCAACCATTACCGAAAATTTCGAAATTTTGACCAAATATTCCATCTAACAAACTCTGGTTGAATTTTACAGTTGGCGCAAGAATTCGTCGAGATTTTTGGATGAACATAAAGAAGATGAAATTTTACTGGATCAAGAAATGGACGATACTGCTTCTTCACAAGTTTCTTCTTTTTATCTTTTTGTATTTCCGTTAACTGTCTGCCTATTAGAGAAATTTTAATTTAACAGAATTTGACTTAAATCTCAAATAAGCAGTGCTTATTAAGAATTTCACATAACCCTCTGAAGTAGTTCCGACATCTATTTCGAAGTAATTAATATATTTCTGAAAAAATAAATTCAAGATTAAAATTGTTTGCAATTCTGGCTTACATTCATTATGATCACATTTTGAGCATAAATTAACAAAATCCATGGATGAAGAATGGTCAATGGAAACAACAGCGCAGAAAGTATGCGACCCTTGCGCCCAGCGGATGTCAGATTTGATTGTAAATAGAAGCGACAGCAAAGCGGAAAATTTCATTCATTGCATCAGAATATCCGATAATGATAACTGCGTGAAACAGGAATTAAATCAAAATTCTGAAAAATATTTTCAAATTGGTAAGTGATATTCACATGCTATAAATATTCTTGACGCTAGAAACTTGCAAAAATTATGAATTTGAACCAAAATGATTGAAATATCTAAAAGAATTAAAATAAAAAAAGGAAAAAAATATTTGTCATAGCACTTAGCAGTTTCCAAAAATTTTTCACTTTTTGAAATTTTAAAAAAACCAATTAGGAAAAGATGTCAGTTAAAATAATTTCATAAATTAACTAAAATAAACGGCTTTTGTTTCAATATAAAAATTAATCAAATGATATATAAGTGGTAAGAATTATGATTGAACGAAAGATTGTTGGCATTTTTTAATTTTTCTGTCCACTTGCTCTAAGCTTAAAAATTTGATATTTCATTTATTTTTAAAATTATTCAGCCAATAACAAATCAGGAGCGCAAAAGTATTACACGAAATCAGCGGAGCATGCAATCGCTCCGAATGAACTTGTAAATGTTGCGCCGTATTCTTGTAAAATAGAATCTCAACGATCTCAGCTGTCGAATCGAACTTATAAATTAAAAGATTCGAAAATATTCGCAAGGAATAATTCGCCTAGAAATTCTTTATCAATAGAAAAGGATCATATCATTTCAGATCAAAAGTATTTTGATAATTTAATATTGAAACAAAAGGTTGCAGTACCAACTACGAAACATTCAGAATTGATTACGGGTAAAGAATATTTGGAGCCGTATTTTATACATCCGAGAAATGAATCCGGTGAAATATTTGTGAATAATAATGATAATTCATGTGATATCAACAAGTGTCAAAATAGGCAGTGCGCAGATATGTTAAAAAGCATTATGAGTGATAATCGAAGAAGTAGAAAACAAAATCAATCTTTTGTCGAATTACCGGAAGTGAATTACAGAGATGAAGAGGTTAAAACGAGTGCCAATATGATGTCGCCATGTCATTCTCTTCATGAAAATACAAAAAAATCAGATAATATTTTAAATATGGATCCGGAAAAAATCGAACGTTTTCGTAGAGAGAGTTGCAGCACATCACAACATCCTTACAATAATGATAAGATGAATCATTTGAAAAATACGTTTATTTCTTCAGGAAAACTATTGAGAAATATGGGAAATAATTTAAATTTAGAACGGAGTTCATGTAAATTTGCAGAAAATTCAGCAGATTCGAAAAAGTCTGAATGGAAAATTGAGGAAGCTAAGTTAAGAAAAAAATGTTTGCAACATCGGCTAAAGCCTATTGTACATTTGGTGCCAATTATCCGGAAGAATGAACAGGAAGCGATGATTTTATCACCACAGAAGAAAATGACATTAAGGAAATTTACTGATAAGGAACCGAATCAATATACATCAAATATTTTCATCAATCCAATCTATGCTAATGCTGGACCAGGTATGATTGCATCTGGCAGATGCAGTAAACAATCGGAAATTATTGTACCACAATGTATAACTCCTCCTCTGTATAATGTATCTCGAGATAACAGAAGAAATCTCAAATCTGTTGATGCTTTATACGAACATTCCACCATTGTTCCACCTTGTCTACCTTATTCAGGTAATAGACGCCAATCAAGAAAAACATTGAGGCGATTCATGTAGTAAATGTTAGCTGATTACATGCAAATCAATTAATTATTACAAGAAATCATTGAATTAAAAACTTCTGAATATATTCTTGGTAAAAAGCTTCAGGGAATTTTCGAAAATAATTTATACAAAGAAATAAAATAGTATTTGGTACAATCAGTTGCCTATAAGAAATTAAAATAGAAAATAGCTGATTGTTTTTTTTAATCTAAATAGGCCTGATTTATATGTAAATGATTTGATATGTTGTTTTCCATTCGAGCAAATGAGTAAATGAATGATAAAAACTTGTGATAATAAATTTCTATCATAAATTCATTGTTTTTGATAATAAGCTAATTTATCTGGCAATATTTGCTGTGATAATATTTTTATGATTATTTGACAGATTATACAAGAAGTAGTGATTAAAATAAATGCTGAAAGTGAAACATTAGTTTATTTTAAAGTACAAAAAGAGTACAAAAAAAGCAAAAATACAATGCCTATAATTTTTGTTAATTTTCGAGTTTTATCATGAAAGATGAGTGATGCTTTATTATTATTATTATCTAATATTGTTAAGAATTTTAAAAAATTAAACATTTTTCAATTCTTGTGCTTATGTCTGAAAATTAATTCTACTAATAAGTAATTAATTTTCGTCAACACATTCACTTTTTCTTACTTATCATTTAAGTAATAAAGTAATAAAGTTTTCACATTGTTGCAAATGAAATCTATGCAAAATTTTCAATCAAATTGCAACAAAAATTAAAGAGATGGATGATTTCAGTTAGGAAATGATTGGTAAAATCGAATATAGTGCGTTGAATGCATTCAAGTTCACCAGAATGATTTGAGTAAAAAAATTCCGATTTGCTGTTTACAATATTAATTTTTGATCATCAATCAAGTACATCTGTTTGCTATCAAAATTTTGTAAACTTTTCATCTATCCTTATTAGCCACATAATCTTTTGTCAAAAATTATTGCCATTTAGCGATTTTATATTTAAAAGATACCTCAGTGTTTTTTTCAAAAAAGCAATACATTTTGAATTTTGAAAAGTTTGCATTATAAATTATAAAATAAATAATTACTGACAAGCTGAACTTCATTAGGTGATAATAATCATTTAACCCATGTCTTTATGTGATAATTCGATGACAGGAAATGTCTTCAATGGATCACAAAGAGCATATTTAAAAATGAAAGGAATTAGAAGGATTGTATAATCTTTCATTCTTTAGAAGGAAAGAAGCATTTCATGCTGTAAAATTGACGAAAGATATTATTGAATTCATGAATATAAATTTCGTATTTCATTTTACATATTTCTTTCATTTGAAATCATTTCAATATCCTATTCTCATAGCATATTTAATATTACTAAACCAGTGTAACTTCTTCTTTTCAATTTTTCTTATCATTAATCATCAAATTACCATCAATCCCATCACTATCATTATTACTAAATCAATCACTACGAATTAAATTAACAGTCATTATTCTTATACAATTAAGATATGAATTCGGAAGTTCAATAATTGATAAAATTAAAAGCTCATCATCTCAAAATTCTTCTCATCTAATTTCACTTCCTCCTTCGAATTTTTATATATTTTTCCATTTTCTTAAGCAATTTCCAATTTTTAATCTTTTCTGCTTCTTTCAACATTCCTCCTCAATTTTGATATGAATTGTTTCGCTTAACCATCTAATAGTTACAACAGTATTTGCTTTTTCTTTGGTTTATTTTTTTGTTTTCTTTCGTTTTAAAGAAAAGAGGAATTAATTGTTGGCTCTGTTTTCGAGAGCCCACTCGTTTGGTTATGCACACACTGATAATATGTGACCCTTTAACAACAATAACAACAGGGCAGTCATCCGATAGGTAATTTGATTAAGGTTATCTTATCATTCAAAATAAAATAATAGAGGTCATCCATTATTCAATACTAAATTTTGCAGATGAATTCATTACAATTTATACTTTTTGTTTACTCAAGATAACGTATATGTACGGAAAATCCGAATATTTGTGATAAAATTATTCACATGGATTGTGAATTATATCATTAATGGTTAGGCTGAGAAAGCTGAGCTTCGCAATTTTGTCTTTGTTAAAATTTATTTGTTGCAATTATGACCTCTTTGTGATTGCTATAATATCATTGAGAGAGATAGCTTTACCACGCATTTGTCCTTTGATTGTTCTTTGTCTTTTGTAGCTAACAAGTAATCATACAATCCTCTCTTTTCCCATTGCTTCTTCCATCCCCAACATGACATTGTCTGACCTTGGGGTTACCTATTAAGCCTATTATCTCTTATTATCATACCGCCTAATATTGAGTATATGAACAGTTAAATATTCATATCAGGGCTTTTCTTTTTTCATTCTTTCATATCTTTCAATATTCACACGCTTATTCAAAATTGGAAGATCGGAAGATGAACGGAAAGCAATATTTACTGACTTATCGATAATGCCAAAACGGGAGCGTTGGAAATGATAATTTTCCATTTATTATAAATAACTGTTTATTTGCTATTATTTGGATGGAAATTGAAACAGTTTAGACATTTTTATGCTTACATTTTTAAGAACAGCTGATTGATAAATTGATAAGGACTATGGAGGAAATTAAATTAATTCGATATTGAATTTAAAAACAGCTAATAATCTATGATCTTTAGTTCGATATTGAATTTAAAAACAGCTAATAATCTATGATCACTGATTAAAAATATAGATCATAAATCATATGCAATAATATTTTCTCCCTCTTCCTCTCTCTCTTTCCCTCTTTGATGCTGTATCATCACACGACGCATCTCACGTTACCTTTATTTGCTAATCATACTACAGTTGCGCACACTTCTTAGCAATCACGTTATTGAGATAGAGAAGAATTATAACAACAGATTACTCTTTTATATATTACTTTAAAAAATAAGTTCGCAATTCGAATAAATTCATCCATTCAACGTTATTCAAAAATTATCATTTTAATGTTTCTTTTATTGTTGCTGCTGTTGTTGTTATTGTTGTTGTTGTTGTTATTGTTTTATTGCTGTTGTCATCATCCATGTTGTTTTTGTTGTTTGTCATTGTTATTGTTATTTGTTGTTATTGTTATTTGTTGTTATTGTTATTTGTTGTTATTGTTATTTGTTGTTATTGTTATTTGTTGTTATTGTTATTTGTTGTTATTGTTATTTATTGTTATTTATTGTTATTGTTATTTGTTGTTATTGTTATTGTTGTTTTTGTTGCTGTCGCTGTTGTTTTTATGGTGAAGAGCAGTACGTTCAAATCTTCATCGAAATTGCTATGAAAATGCTATCAACAATGTTGTGAAGACGATTTCAACTAAAAGTTGTGCTGCTTTTCGGGGATGAGATTAATCGGGATGTATTTATTATAAATATTAGTTCTATAAAGCTTTTCTTCAAATATCAAATATATTTCTTTGTTGCTTACGAATGGCTTCTTTCCTTTACGATAATTTAACTTTGAATCATTTTCCTTCTTCACTTTTCATAAATATTTAAATGTTGTATTAAATTCTTTGTAAATAAATAAGTACAGAACTCACATATATAATTGAACGAAATTTTGCACATATTTCAAAAAAAAAAAATCATTTTTTTCAGTTGATTACAGGTACTACACATGCATATGTGTCGTGAAAGTGTGATGACCGCCAGATATCTTTTACTGCCGAGCTGATTTTGGGGTA